TCTCCGAGCAATATCAGTCACTAGATTTTACTTGTTGACACTTTCAGAGCAAGACAGCTGAGCCTTGGCTGAAGGTTATCTCAGAACATATTACAAGGGAAAAAACAAGCTCCGTGGAGCTGGTAATAATCCAGATTACCATCTATTCCCCTTTCGGAGCAACAATGGATTTTAACCAGTTTTCTGTTTTATAAATATTACCGTGGCTCAACACATCTATGAGGAGACACAACATTACCCGCGGCTTTCATCCTGTTTGTGTACTAATTATATCAACAACCTGAACCAACTTAACACTATACAAAAACACAGCTGATTTAGCAATCTGTAAATTATACATGTACATAAATCTGTACCAAAATGTGCTACGTTTCGCTCCTGCTAATGTGCATGGATTCTTACTGGCACCTACAATTGTTTGATATAGGTTTCCGAACACTAAAACATATGTTCTGCCTAGAATGGGACCATTTAGGGTAATATTTTTGTAGTTTCCTGGCACTAAGGTCTGCCAGCCTTCCCATGACAGTAAGTGCCTGCAGATTTAAGCAACCCTCAAAAAATATTCTGGAATAACACTTTCCAATCATGAATATAAAGAGAAACAGGCTGGCTTTGCCTATGTGGTAACAAAGTCAATAGAAGGATTTGACATGATCACTGACATGACCATAAGCAAAATCTGGAGAATACTTAATTATTCCTGCTAATTACTTGCAACTCTCAAAAAAAACCCAGATAATTATTAAATCCCTCCTTCAGGGCAGCCCCGGTGGCTCAGTGGTTTAGTGCCTACCTTCGGCCTAGGGCGTGATCCTGGAGACCTGGGATCGAGTCCCACATCGGGCTCCCTGCTTGGAGCCTGCTTTTCCCTCTGCCTGTGTCTCTGCCTCTCTCTCTCTCTCTCTCTCTCTCTCTCTCTCGAATAAGTAAATAAAATCTTTTTAAAAAAATCTCTCCTTCAAATGGTATTCGGAATGTATCAGAGAAAGTTAAACTAGATTTTAGTCCCATCAAAACCAAGAAATACCTTTAAAAAAATTCTTTTTAAACACAATGTCAAGCCTGTATAAGAGCTACAGCCAGAAAGCATCGTGGGAAGGGTCAAGATGCTTGGACCAAGATTCACTAGAATGCAAATTTCTGAGGGCAAGGAGGGTTCCTTGATTCCCACTATATCCTCAGCATTCAATAACTGTGCTCGATAAAACCTTTTTGAATGAACAAACCTGTCACAGCTGCTGACTAGTACCTGACGTGCCTCCAACTGCCTTTTACTAACTGTAAGTACATTACTTAACCTAAGGATTTTTTTTTAAGATTTTGATTTATTTATTTGAGAGAGAGAAAGAGAGACGGAGAGAAGACACGCAGGGGGGAGCCAGGGGGAGCAGCAGAGGCGGAGGGAAAAGCAGACACCCCGCTGAGCAGGCAGCCCAAGGCAGGGCTCGATCCCAGGACCCCGGGATCATGACCTGAGCCAAAGGCAGACGCTTAGCCAACTGAGCCACCCGGGCGCCCCAAGATTCTCAGCTCCTGAAACTCTAAAATGGAGACACTGCACCTCCTCTGCTGGCATATGAGGATCAAATGTGATATTCTCTGAAAAGTTATTTAAAACTTTATAACTATAAGCAGGTGCATGAATAAGTAAGTGGCTGTTACCCCACCGGTGACTTCAGCTAAACCACTGACAAAGATGAAGATACTGCCCTTGCTTAAAACAGAATTAGCTTCTCCTTTGCCCTGTTATTCTGTTTGGATGTGGTAGTATGGCTGTTAGCCAAAATGGATGTTGTTCTTGTTGTTATAACATTTTATTTAATCTCCCCTGGGAAATTAAGCTTCTCTAGAGAACATACTGGTAATACAAGGAAGGCCGCTGCATAGTGTACCATAAGGAACATGACACTGGGGTCAAGGGACTTCGGGTCTCATCAGCTCTGCCCTTAAATATTTGAGGAAATGTGCTTCCTTCACCTTCTTCATCTACACAAGGATGGGGAAGGAGAGGCAGACGATGCAGCATCTAATCCTACAGGTCATGATACTCCAGACACCAGATATTCTAATGCCCCAAGACAAAGCCACTTCTATTATCCATAAGCATATAATGAGAGTAGTTTTTTTGGTTGTGTGTGTGTGTGTGTGTGTGTGTGTGTGTGTTTTAAAGACAGGCTAAGTTATATGGCTGGAGAAACAATGATGCTACAGGAGGAAATGAATGATACCCTCCAAAGACTTCCTGTGTCAGGCAATGTGTGCCTGCCACTTTGAATAAGTCACGTAATATTCCAAGGGCTCAGTTTTCTGATCTGTAAAACAGGAACCACAATACTGCATAAGACCACTGGGAGAAAATGCTTAATAAAGATGATCCAAAAAGTACTGCTATTAAAGGTAAGCTGCTATTTAAACACTGTCACGTCCAAAAAAGGCTGGTGGATTTCAGGAGGAGACAATCAATATTTTTAAATAGACTTTTTCCATCACTGTAAAATAAAACAATGCATGAAGATATTGTGATATTTCCAAGAGTCCACATATTTTTCTTCTGTTTGTCTCTAGGAAATGTGATGAAAGGGATCATGAGAAGCTTAAATCCCACATTTCAAGACCAGAATACTTTCTTCTGAAACAACAGATCATGTTAAGACTTCAACTCTCCTAAGGATGTTTTGTTTGTGTGGTTGATGTCATTTGGTTGGTTGGTTAACTGAAGTCAAGCTGTTGGGATTGGTGCTGAAATTAAAATGCCAATGCTAAAAATATTCCCAGCTACTTAGTCTATTGACATTCTATATATGCTTATAAAGGAGAAGTGGCTCTAAGAAAATCAACTAGAGTATTTATCCTGCATTCCCAGCTCCAGATTGATTTTGTGGTTGTGGGGCATTAGTTTCACCACTCTTATTTCTTTTTAAGATTTATTTATTTATTTATTGGAGAAAGAAAGAGAGAGAAACTACAAGCTGAGGAGGGGCAGAGGGAGAGAGAGAATTCTCAAGCAGACTCCCACCCCCGCCCTCACAAGCAGGGAGCCTGACACAGGGCTCCATCCCAGGTCCCTGATTTTGGCCTGAGCCAAAATCAACAGTCAGACACTCAACCCACTGAGTCACCCAGGGACCCCTAGCCCCACCCTTCTTAAGGTCCTCCTACAAGCCCAAGGGAACCTTAGGACTGTTACATGTAAGATCTGTTATCTCATTCTCCATTCAAAAACATAGTATGATACACATGAGACACGAGGTTTCCCTTATAACTTAAAGGACACTGCCTCTTCACCAAAACAAAAAAAAAAAAAAACTAACTAACTAACTAACTAAATAACTAACTAAATAAATAAATAAATAAATAAATAAGAAAAAAAGGAATTGTCCTTGAGATTCATAAGAAAATTGATGTCACTGAGATCCCCCAAATCTGCAAGACTGTCTCCACAGCCCCTAACAGGTCAATAACCACAGCAATCACAGCACGTGAACTCTTAACTAGTGATTTTATTTAAAAATCCATGAACTCCTCCAGCTTCTTCACGGCAGAAGAGTTCGGGGGGACTACTCACCAAGTAATTCTCATCCCCTCGAATCCCCAGGTAATGGGGGTCACCTTGTTCTAAAAGCCCCCTTGGTGAGTTTGAGTGAGAGAGACCTTGAAGGAAAAGGTGACTAAACAGAAACTCTTCGGTACTCTTAAGAGACACACAGTAAATGATCATTTCTAAGATATTTAAATAAGACCCAAGAATAGGCTATGCTGGTTGATAAGCTTCTTGTTGTTAAGATCAACTTCAATCACTTTTCAATTAAAGAGTATTTCTTGGGAGCACAAGTCACTGCTCACGCTCTTCCCCCTGGATCCCTAACTAAATCCAAGCAGAAGCCCATGATTTTAAACAAGGGCTCCGAAACTGTGACATCTGCGCCTTTTTAAAACCCATTTCCTAAGTTAGCTCTTCGTGTCTTCGGTCCCTGGGAGGAGAGGAGTCCCGGAACCTGTGAAGAGCATCTCCAGGCTTGGCCCCCTTTCATCTGGGCCCCGTGATGGCCGGGGCCAGACGCCCACCTCCTCTCTGCCCTGCGAGCTGGAGCCAGGATGCTTTGCTGCGTGTGGGTCCAGAAGGGATCGCCAGCGTTCCTTTCCCTTCGCACCCCTGCTCCCTGGGGAGCAGCATCCCGTCCAGCGCTCCCTGCCATGCACTGTCCACCCTAATGCCACAGAGAAAGAAAGAGAGGAGCGGGGAGCACCGGGTGACTGGGTGATGGACAGACTGACAGGCTTGGCGAGGTGGGGAATTTAGAGGTGAGCAAGGTGTGCGGGCATGAACCTGCCGAGTGCGGGAGAGAGGACCTGTGACAGGTCTGCCCTGCGCCCGCCTGGCCAGCTCTGCCCCTGTGCGCTCCACTTGCCGTCCAAGTCCCGGAAAGTCTGCCCCTCACGAGCCTTAACCTCCAAAAGGGTGGGACGGGTGGGGGGCGGGGGAGAGGCGGGCCCGGGCAAGGTGCAGCGCGTCCCTGTACCCCCGCGTCCCACGCCTCGGACTTCTCAGCTGCCGCCCCCCGCCCCACCCCCCGACCCCAGCCCTCGGGGTGGGGGGGCCCGGCCCGGCCCGGCCCCGCCGGCCTCCCGGACCGCGGGCTCCCCGCGGGGAGAGGCGGCGCCCGGGGTGCAGCCGGGGAGCCCCGCGAGCCTCGGCGGGGGGCGGGCGGTGCGGCGGGGAGTGCGCTCCCGCTCCCGCCGCGTCCGGCTCCCGTCACTTTTCCCAGGACTTTGCCCATCCGCGGTCACGCTGTCTGGAGCGGGGACGGAGACGGCGCGAGAGCGGCCGTCCCCGGGGCTGGGGTGCGCGGACCTCGCCCCGCCCTGCGCACCTCGCCGGCCTCGGGCAGGCGGCCCCGCGCCGCGGCTCCCGGCAGAGCTGCGGGCTCCGCTGCATCCGCGGGCGCCGGGCGGCGGGAGGGAGAGCCCGGGCCCCCGACAGCCGCAGCGCCGCTTACCACTGGAGCGCCGGACGATGTTCTCCAGGAACGTGTTCTGCGGGGCCACCAGTCCTCTCCTGCCCCCGGCCATGGTCATCCTCCCGGCAGCTCGCGGTCCGGGGGGCGTCCCGGCGCGGCTTCTCACGGCAGCGGCGAGCTGGGCGCCGGGCCCTGGCGCGATCGCGGCTCCAGGCGCCCCATGCGCCCCGCGGGGACCCGGGCGGCCAGGGGCGGCGCTCCCTCCGGCTGCCGCCCTCGCGCCCTCTTCGCGCCTCCCTCCCCGCCGCCCGCCTCGCGGAGCGCTCGCGCGGGGCTCGCCTCGCCGCAGCCCTTCCGGGTGGGCGGAGGGAGCCGCGGCGCCGGGCCCGGGGCGCCCCCTACCGGGCGCTGCCCCCCCGCCCCCCGCCCCCCCGCCTCCCGCCGCCGGCCTGCGGGAGAGCGAGCGGGGGGCTCCCGCAGCGGCCGGGAAGCGGCGGGCGGGCGGCCGAGGCTGGGGCGGCAGCGCCACCCCCTGGCACAGCCCTGCAGCGGGCTCGGGGTGCGCCCTGCGCTGGCGCGCGGAGCCCCGTCCGCGGTGCGTCCACCTGCCACAAGGTCACCGCGAGTCCTGGGGGCACACGGCCCTGGAAGCCTCCTCCTGCGCTCCGTTGCAGGCCGGAGCCTCTGGGAGCTCTCGGGGACCCCTGGAACACCTTCCCGCCTCCCCGTGGGGGCTGTTAGCCTCGTCCGTGAGAGGGTCCGTGAGAGTTGCCCGTGTTTTCCCAAGTAGTTAAAGAAGTTGAATCCTAAGAGGTCAGACTCGCAGAGTGACCGGCCGACGGAGCTCCAGACGCGCTGTCTTGAGTCGTTAAAGATAACCCAAGGCACGGACAGACGCAGGCTCTGGACGTTTCACAGGTTTGCTGAGTGACTGACCTGATTTCCACTCTGATCCAGCGTCTGGTTTAACCCAAGGCCAAGAAACCATCTGTACGTATGCACGACTTCTTTCTTAGCTGAAGCACGACCTGTTAGGATCAATGTGTGAGCTTAGGGAACAGGAGCAAACTGACAGGCATCAAAAGGGTGGGCTTGCCTCTGAGGCCAAATGGTGGGGCCGAAGGAATGGGGTGGGCTGTGTCCCCAACACTTAACGTTCAGTTATAAGAACAACCTTCGCTTGAAGGACTGTCTACACACAGGATGAGGCGCTGGTCTTCCACACCTTTGCCTCTGATATGAAGAATCATATACACCAAGGGTTTTCTGGGCAGGAGCTCACTTTTGCTCGTTTTCCCCGTGCTCACTTGGGCGATTTCCACCCGCACAGGACTCTTTACCTGTCTTTTTACTAGACGTCCCCCAGCAGGTGTGGCCAGAGACCACAAAAGGAGGTGATAGTTTTCTAGTTAGTTCCAGGCTAGATTAATGGCCGGCACCAAAATATTTATGAGGGAAGAACAGACCCCACCACCTCAACTGTCCAGGTTCACCACCCTGGTGCGGCCTATTGTATTGCAGACACCCTGTCTCCATTTATTAGTCTCAAAATACAGGAACCGATCCTTGCCCAGCAATGCCTCAGAGTTACTGTGAAGATCAAGCATAATTATGCCAAGGGCAGCACTCTAAACTGTAAAGTGCTATACCAAGGTGAGATGTCATCATATGAGTGACTAAATAAATTGGGCCGTTAGGGACGTCATCTTGTGCGGGCACAAAGCAAATAGATGACGGCTGCTAGCCGAGTTAGGTAACCCTTGCATAGGCTTTGAAATCAAAGTAATGATACACTTTTTCCAGAAGATAACCCATCCCTCAAGACGCCCAGTGTCGAGCTGTGATTTCTTAAGCCCTAGCTCCGTCTAGTGGTTCTTTGTTCTATTACAAATGAGATAACAAATGGTGGTTGACAAGAACTTATCTGAAATGTATGTGGTGCTGAGCTAGCTCGGTGGCGTCTGCCCACTTCATTTGAATAAGTTCATTTGAATAAGACTCTTAAGGTTATGTTATCTACTGCACAAACATGCCCACAGGGAGATTTTTCATGACAATATTAAAAACCCATCAAGCAACCTCATAATCCTGCTTGTGCAAGGAAGATAAAGAAGAGAATGGGGGAAAACTGTCATAGAGAGTTAATAAAACTTCTCGGATTTTAATGAGCTTTCATGTTCTGTGGCTCAGATAAAAAGGAAACAGATGATATTCATTTGAGGTGAGCGATGTTAAAGCCTTTTACCTGATAAGAAAAAAGAACCAGGAGATCTCTTCTATTTTAATTTTAAATGTACTACCACAGTGATTCTCACTGTGCACAATATTGTGTGTGTGGAAGGGGGGGCACCATTTTGAAAACTACAGATTTTAGTAGCACACTTGAAGAGACTAAGGGACCTAAAAGAACACTAAAAAGTCAGCAATCTAACCACCATCACTACTCAGTGTGACTGTGTTTCACAGTGAGTCCATGAAAGCATGTCTCAAAGAGGAAGCAAAGCATTCTCATGCCCAACCCTCAACACTATCTGACTGTGGGAAGAGACTCGTGTTCTACTCTGTCCACATTCTCCTTGAATAATTTACAGGCCAAGGTTGCACGTGTTCAGTAAATATACCGGCTTTTTGGGGGGCTGGTTTGACAATGCACTATGCTTCTTACCTCTTTCTTGACACCTTCCGTTCCCAACTCTACTTCAGTTCCAGGATCTGCTCAGCTTAAAGTTCTGAGCTCTGTCACTGAAATGTAGGAATCGTAGTTGGAGCAAGCTCTAGTCTTACAAATTTGTCAAAATTTGGTAACACATTTGTAAAGGATTCACAATATACCAATGTGCGCTGGCAAGGCAGTTGAGCGTTCCTGTGTTTTTATATAACAGGAAAAGCCACTTCTTATTTAAAGGGACAATTTTAAATAACTGTGGCCAGAATTCCAATTAAGCTGCCTCTGTCCCTCCCTGCAGAAAGCAGGCTACCACTGTCTAGGACTTGTACCAAGAAGGATAGAGAGTCTAAAATAAAAAGTCTAAGATAAAAAGTCTAAAACTTGTAAACTTTTACTCCGATGTCTCTCCTCTACCCTTCTCAGCAGTTCTCCTCCTGTACTTTCCAGTGTTTTTGTTTACCCCTCAATTATGAGTTCATATCTGTATTCACACAATGGATGGAGAGCTCCGTGAAACAAAGATGAACTTTGCCAATCTTTGTTCTAACGAATGTAATTGAGCTGGGTGTAATTAGTGAGTTCACAGAGGGACTGATAGTGATGGAAGTATACCACGACAGAGAGAGCCTGGTGATGGAGGGCTGCAAACTGGCTGGGAAGAGTCCAGGAGATAACAGAAAAAAATCTTTATGCCCAACAACAACAACAACAACAACAAACCTACCAAATACAAAGGAAGACAATGCCACACGTGGCAGGCGGGAGGGGGTGGCATCATGCAAAGACAGAAATTACTTTTTTTTTCCTTTTATTAAGACCATCAGGTATAGGTGACACATTTCAGAAAGCCAAGAACCCCTCAAACATGGGAGAGTCACCTATGAGTCCTAGAAAGCCTGGGAGACAGAATGGCCGAACAGGGACGCCTCATGGTTACCAAACCATTAGCACCAGTAGGAGAATTTGAACGTGGAGGTAACTTACCTGCTCTGCCATCAAGAGTGAAATATCTAAAACGGGGAATTTGCAGCAAAAGACATTTCAGCTCCTATAACCCAGTGACTAGTGTATTATTTGTTATATTTAATTTCTGTTAGTAAAAATTATTTTCTAATAAACTTAGAGGAAGAGAGTTGTGAGGGCCATATCCACTGGAAGGACCTGTTCTTTATTATAGATACCTCCCCACCCCGCCCCAACTCCCCCCTCACCCCCTCCACCCCAGATCTGTTGGGAGAAGGGAGAAAATCTGCCGCAATTAGAATCTATGCGACTGGGGGGTGGGAAGCATGCACAGATGTGGGTGTTGCATTCAACTGTGGTTAACTCAACAGGCATTTATAAATGTTTGTAGAATTGGGTTATGTCCTTCTAAATGCCCAAAGTTAATATCCTTCTTTCTCATTTCCTCTTACCATCAGAGAACAGGATCTGTTACTGCACTCCCTCTCGTGGAAAATAATTAAAAGCCATTTACAACAGTCTCATTTTATCATAACAAACATTTGCTCAGAGACTAGCATATACCAGACACTGGGATAGATTCTAAGGATGGAAAGATGCAGATGATTGGTACTTGCCCTCGAGAAGCTCAATAAACGCTCTGTGAGTGCTTTGCTTCTTTATAATTTCTCTCCTTTTAGCTACTTTACTCTCTCAGATGTACATTCTAAATCTCGCTTTGTCAATAAATTACAACTCAGCTTGATCTCAACCCTGAAGATTTTTCCATCTCCTCTTAACTGAGACTTGGCTTTCTTCTAAGGTCTCAAAATTCCACAGATCCCCCTCCTTTGGAGGATATTCATCTGCTATGGCCTCTGTACCTAAAAGCCAGAGGCTGTGGTGAGAATTCATCTAATTCTTCACTACCATATCCAAACCACTACTCTTCTACATTCAGGTAACCGTTCTCCTTTGAAGACCACGATCAAGAGAAATAACACTCTATCTACTCTTCTTCATATCTTAAAATAGATTTAGGGATATTTTTATTCCATTTTGAAAAAGTCTAGATGTTGTGGGGCATTGCAAAGAAATATTGAGTAGCCAGGGAGATACACACAGGTTAAAACCCAAAAGACACATCTGGGTAGAGCCAGAGATTGGAAATCACCAATTTATAGCCTTCAGAGGAGGCTGAGAAAGAACAGTTTGGAAGCAGGGACAACTGCGAGAAGCAGTTTTATAGAAGCCCAGAGGGAGAAAGTCTTGAAGTAGGAGAAATGAAGACACCATCATAATAGCATTATGCTGTGAACACTGGAAAATGTCCACTGAATCTAGTGATTCATTGGTGATTTGAGACCTTGGTAGATACATTTTCAATAGAGTACTGGGGAAGAAGCCAAATTACAATGGGTTTAAAGAGTAAGGAGAAACTTACAATCAAGATGGCAAATTGAACTAAGGAGTAATGAGCACTGCCTTTCCACACAAAACATAGAAATGACAGGAAAAAAATGTTTTTAAACATAATTAATATATTGCCAAGCTCAAGAGCAAAATGGGGGAAATTTCA